CCACCCTGAGCTCGCAAAGAAGGTTGCAGACAGGTATGTCCAATAGTCCCACTGCTGTGTGAGCGCACCGTGGAAAAAAGTTCCTCCATCGGCGGTGATGGTGGTGGGGAGAGAAAAAAAAATCCACGAGATTGGACGAACTACCAGCCAAGCAGCAGCAGTCTGCTGTGAGCTGGTAACCAAACAATTTGCTTGAGTGTGACACTCACTGACTCTACCTTTGTCTGGCCTAAGGCTCGGGATAGAACTCACAAAGATTCTCGTCCTCCAATATTCCAACCAGGAGACCTCCGTGACAATCGGCGAGTCGGTCCGCGACGAGGATGTGTTCATCCTGCAGTCCACGGCGCCGGGGGACATCAACGACGGGCTGATGGAACTGCTCATCATGATAAACGCGTGCAAGACGGCCAGCGCCCGACGCATCACGGCCGTCATCCCGAATTTCCCGTATGCGCGACAGGACAAGAAGGATAAATCAAGAGCGCCGATTTCAGCAAAGTTGATTGCGAACATGCTGCAGACGGCGGGGTGCAATCATGTCATCACGATGGATTTGCACGCTAGTCAGATCCAGGGCTTTTTTAATGTGCCGGTTGATAAGTGAGCCTCCTCTTTGACTGCCCTTCTTTTCTGTGTTCTAGAAATATTGGGGAGGAGAAATTCCACGGGTTGGCGGTGGTGGGGCAGCGAGGTGTCGGATAAGATAAGACGGCGGGAGTGAAAGCTTGGTATCAGTGTGGGGAATCTGGTGCGGGTGCTGAAGATTCATGGGTGTCTGCCGGATTCCCGGCATGAACTGTGAATGGCTATGTTTTTGTGGTGTATGGTCGCTGACAATGAGGAACCTATCAAAACAGCTTGTACGCCGAACCTTCAATGCTTAGGTACATTTACGAGAACTTCGACTACAAGAGCGCAGTTATCGTCTCCCCTGACGCCGGTGGTGCTAAACGGTTTAATCCCCAGCTAATACTCCTCTCCCGCTCTACTAATATCTATGTTATAGTGCTACTGCTATCGCCGATCGCCTGGATCTCCCCTTCGCTCTCATCCACAAGGAACGATCGCGGCCCAATGAAGTCAGCAGGATGGTTCTTGTCGGCGACGTCTCAGACCGCATCGCGATCTTAGTAGACGACATGGCAGACACTTGTGGAACTCTCGTCAAGGCCGCACAGACACTAAAGGCTAATGGCGCTAAAGAGGTGGTAGCAATTGTCACCCACGGGATCCTCTCTGGCAATGCCATCGAGGCCATCAACAAGAGCGAATTGACAAAGGTGGTGGTCACCAACACAGTCCCACACGCGGAGAAGAAAAAGAGGTGTCCGAGACTTGAGACAATCGACATTGCGCCTACGGTGAGTAGTAATAACCAGATCCCCTTTCGTCCTTCAGTACAGAAACCTGACAAACTTTCCAATCTAGCTCGCGGAGGCTTGCAGGAGAACACACAACGGTGAAAGTGTCTCCTTCCTCTTCAGCAATGCTCCTAGCTGATCTGGTTATATAAAATTGGTTTTTCTTTTGGCTTGTTGGTTTTTCCGTTCCTTTCTTTTTTGGGTTATTTCGGTTTTTCTTTTTATCTTTTTGGAGAGAAAAAAATATACATATATACACCAAGGTCTGTCATTATAGATATGGCAGGACTAGACTGGGCCACTTTGGGTTGGGTTGGGTTATTATTGTACCAGTCTGACACCCACTGTCACGGGGTAAATACTTCTGCCTTTGCGCGTCCCCTTGGATCAAAGTACAAAAAAAATAAACCGTTTCATGGGGATACATATGACCCGCAAAAGTTCAAAAGTCATGGGCATGGAAATTATGCTATGCTGAGATGACTACACACTAATTAACCAACAGTGAGATTGAACGGGGCTTCTAATCGATATCTTCTGGGGAATTCCGCAAAGTCCGGAGAACCCATAAACTGCTGGAAGAAGGAAGCGCTTCTAGACATACAGCCGTGCGGGATTCCCGGAAGCTTAAGTGGAGTGACAAGACAAGAGCAGACATCTTGAGAGGAGAGTTGGACATTACCAACTAACTACTGCATACCCGCATTCTAGAAAAATGCAAGCTCTTAGGCAAATCGGGCCTCTTTGCTGATCGATCAGCCCACGTGAGGGATATAAATAATAAAACACCACTACCCCGCCAAGGCCCCTACTGAGATCATACGACAGCACTCGCACCCGTATCCGGGAATAAGCGCAAATGGCATATCCAGGTTTCCACACGAAACGGATGATCTGACACGATCTGACCGCCCGTGTTGGTCTGTGGGGGCTTCTTTTTTTTCTTTTTTTCTCTTTTTTGTTTACATACTCTATTATTCACTGTGCGACTTCGCTTATATTACCGGGGACGGTGGCGCGGGGTGAGGTGGCCTTATGTATGATATGTGCGGGGAACGGGGGAATTTGGGGCGGTCACGTTTTTGTGATTGCGTATTTTTTTTTTCCATTTACGGGTCATGGGGAAGAATATTTTGGATTATTATTTCTAGGCAACTACGGTTGTTTGTAAGCTCCGAGGCAGCTGATGTGTGTTACTCGCTGCCTGGAGAGACTCGCGGGAATGACTGTAACTATTCCTGGAGAACGAGAGATATAGACACATGACCGTATGCAGCTCAAGGCATAGTGTGGTATATTTTTTATTCGATAAATGTCCTAGAGTTCTGGTGCAAAGGATAAGTAACTTTCTCCGCAAGAATCGGAAACGGGAATAGTGGCATAAGAGGGGGGAGGTTCTCAAAGAGATCAGACAGCAGTTGGTAACAATAGAGTTTCTCAACACAAAAATTCAGAACAGGTCTGTGTGAATATTGTTTTTCATCATTTTGAGACTTCCCCCTTGCGGGAAAGGGGAGGGAAAAGGAGGGTGTAAATAATGAGGAATAGAAGTATCTTACCTAAGATTGAAAGCCTAGTTGTCCTACATTATCGATGATTTTTTTCTAATAGTTAGTCTAGAGTGATGATTTTGGTTAAAAGATTTATTCTAATTTGAGTAGAAGATGAAATCTATTGAGGTGCCGCCTGCGGCAGTTTTTTGTCCCAGATTAAGGAAAACAGAGTTTGGTGATCCGGAGAGTAAAAGAAAATGAATATAGTCGATAGGATATAAAACTAGAAAATGTCCGCTAGGAAAGAAAAAAACTTTAAGTGGGTTAGCAATTTGCATACGTATCTAACCTCAAGTCACGATATAAATGGGGCCGGGGAAGGAGATTTAAAGTCAGACAGCAGTTGGTAACAATAAAGTTTCTCAACACAAAAATTCAGATCAGGTCTGTGTGAATATTGTTCTTCATCATATGAAATCTCTTCCCCAGGGAAAAAGCAAGGGGGAAAAAGATCAAACATACCATTTTGAACTGTGTAGCCCAACTCCGGCTACTGCGGAGTGAAAAAATCGCTGATTTGTCTCTGCCTATCATCGGCTTTTGCACTCCCCACACCTCCGCCGGTCCTCTCAAGGCCCTGCAAATGTGTCTTGATATTCATGCCTTCGACTAGGCACATACAACCTTTCAACCCTTCTTCCATATCACCGGGAAGGATGTCAAGGAGTATGTATCCGGTGTTGCTCCAATGCGGTTTTCTCCCAGAACATTCAACTGCAGTTGAGACATTAGATCTGTGGAAGCGGATAATTATACGCATCCATAGAATTCCAAGGAATATCCCATGTGATGCCACTGCGATTGCATGGTTCTTTGTGTTCACAGCACTGTTATTGAAGTGCACCTCCATCACGGCGGGGATTAGATAGTCGTCGATAAAGCGGTCTGCCCGGGCGGCCATGGATTCATTACTCTCTCGGCTCTGATAACCTGGGCCCCGAATTACTTGGGGCGTAGGACGATGTGAAGACCTGTAAGACGTTCCTTCCCTACTCCCAAAATCTACTTCCCGCAATTCAAACAATTGCGTTACAGTAGCCGCTGAGGGTGAAGGGACATTAACTCCGTCGGTCCGCACGAGCTGAGCATCTAGTATGGCCTGTCCAGTTTTGCGCGCTCGTTGTAAATCCGACGAGAATATGTGTGTGAAGATGAGCCCTGCTCCCCCAGCGGATTTGGGGGTTGTCAAGTGTTCCCCTAGACGAAGAGCCTGGAGGACACCGTGGTTTGTTAAATGAGAATCGGTTACGCCTGCGCTGCTCCAAAGGATTTGTTAGTAACGTTTTCCGAGTCTTTCAATTTTGTAAGAATGACAAGAGTCATAAGGGTAGAAGACTTACTATTTATGAGCTACATTATCGACAGTTTCGCCGTGGCGGATAAGGAGGAGTTTCATGACTTTTCGCCACGCCCCGAAGGAAGAAACAAAAGTGAAAGGAAAAAAAAATTGGTGAAAAGCGGGACAGGAGGGGAACGAGGGAATAAATTATTGCCTTGGACCCTGAAAGAAGTAGCTTGGCAGGGCTAACTACATTTGTGATTACCAATCGGGTTATTTTTGGTCTTGGCCCGAATCACAAACCTGATATGGTATGTAACTGTTAAACGCACTGCTGAACAGACTCAGGCGTCGATTAGATTGATCTGATAAGATTATTCACTTGTTTCATCTGTGGCATCCTGACGCAGCATCAGGGGGACATGTTTTGCTAGCCATCTGCAGGGACCATTTAAGTGGCTGGTGCACCAATCTGACGTCTGCAGACACTCACCCTTTACCTACTACATCTGTAGTACCACGTTGGCCCTTCGAATGCTATCCAGTACTCTACCTAAGAGTTTGAGAGTGCAACAAAAATATTGGTTGAGAGTTCTTCATCGTAAGGAGTACTCAGTGGCATCTGCTGGCAGATGGTACCTGCATGTTTCGCTAGATACCTTTTCCTCGTGTCAGTTTCAGAGTTTCTTTCCCGAATGTAGAAAGCCCGTTTTCCATTCAAGTTGGATAAGTAAAAAATAGATAAATAAGCTCTTGTGTTCTTTGCCCGGTGAAAGATGGTCATTCACAATTCACCGTTCCGAAATGGCTTCCACGTTGATTGCCTTGTTGCTGCTCGCAATCTTTTCGTGCATATCGGCACAAGATATTGCCTGTCCTCCGGGCTCATTTCTCCAGACAGATGTAACAACATTCACAGTCCCTTCTTCTCCAAAATCACTGGAGTCGACCTTGGGAGATTTTTATTCGAATAGCTGCAAGTCCCCACGCCCAGTGATATTGCACTCCCTCCCCTGCATAATCTTATGGCCCCTCTAACATGTTTATCCTTAGGGCAATCTCTCCTTCAAACATCCATAACCTTCGCTCCCGCCTTTCTCTCTAGAACCCTGCACTTCACCTCAGAATCTCTCAATATTACCGAAACTCTTTTACCCTCAACTCCTATGCTGCTTCAATGGCAGCTATCTTCGGGGGCATTCGTGCTTCCTTCGGGGGGTGCAAAATCCAAAGTGCTCTCATATAACCAATCTCTTTCTCTCCTTCCTGTATGTGACAGCGATTCATATACCACTATAACCTGGAGTATTCATGCCTGTATCTCCTCGCCGTTCGAAGGGCAAGACGAGGAAGGGCAAGACGAGGAAGCGCAACCAATAAACTGGTTCAAGCTTCAGCACGACAAAGCTGCCAGAAGTATGTTTGCCACAGTTTCTCATAGCTGGTTCGGCCCCGTTTCGACTAATCAAGAGAACGCTGCATGCCCCACCAACGACTCCAGGGCTCCTGTACTTTCTAAACTGAGTGGTACCATTGGGGCTTTAAAGGAGCTATCACTGGCGCCTGCACCTACTGTTACAGCTGTGGTGTCGAGTTCTGTGTCAGCACCGGTACCGACGACTACATTCAAGACGTCGTATCCTCTAATTCCGCTACCTGTGACGTTGTCATTACCTGCCGAGAATGCCACATGGAGTACGGTTGGGGTGAAGGGTGAGGAGACACCGACCTTTACAAGTTTTATACCGATGGCAACTTATATTCCAGGAAATGGAGCAACAGGAAGAAATAGTGTGGATGCCGTAGTGGTAATGGCAGCCATTATAGGATGGCTATTCGTGTAAAGCGAAGGAGAAAGGGTGTGGCTCTTATGTACTTGTGGGATCTCTTTTGTAAATATTAAGTAGAATAAAAATAATAATTCTTGGGGTGATCATAGAATAAGAGTCTTTGAAAGCTAGAACTCTCGTACTCCCTCCCTCATTGAAGTCATCTGTCATCAGTTGGTGTGGCGATCAGCCCTTGACTTTTTCGACTTGAGGTTTGCACTAGAGCGTAACAAGCTTACAGCTTTATTTATCGGCACATGTCATACATATCAAAAGAATCAAAAGAAATAAGACATCGCATAGTTAATACCTGTATTGCGTATAGTCTGTGGTCCATAATCCCTCAAAATATCAATATACCTTCTGTGGATTGAAATTTTTTTCTTCCCAATTGGGATTACAACTAGCTTGTTGGTCTAATTCAAAACCCATTAATTCGTACCCCCACCCTAAATTGTGACGTCTTTTAGGGTTAACATAGCGGCAGAGCACTAATGTGCATATATGTCGTGATTACTCAACCTTACACAGATATAAATCTGTGCTTCATAGAAAATCACTCGTCCATGTTTTGCCTGATGCCGCAATCCTATTAGGGCGTAGAACCGAAAAATTTGGATATAAGATCCTTTGACTGAGGGCTACCAGCCTGTTAGTATAGCGTACATGTTGTCGCTGGGCGGAAGAAGAGGTCAAGGGTGTGTTACATCAGATCTCCTTTCCAGATCTTCGGGGTGTTTGCAGAATGGGGGCTCGCCCATTCAACATCTTATGCTGAAATTTAAATCTATATTACAGGTCCGGATCTGGAATATACTGAATTCCGCGCTCTTGATAAACCAACTAGCTGACTCGGTGAGACAGACCTTAAAATCGTATTGCTTTTTGGGGTCATGGGATGAGAATTCATGAGACACTCAAAGGCCTTTTGACACAGATATATATCGACAGATGCCTTTGGTTTGATTCTGTTGAATTACTGACTCATTCAGAGCTCCTTCTCTCAAACGAAGCTCGCCCTATCATTGGCCGATAACAGCTGGGACACTAAACACCACCGTATCAATAACATATTGAGATTTGGTCTTTGTCGACATTCTCACCTGCTACGCTATATGATTAAGGCTTTGTTTGATTCGTTGCGTCGTTCCGTTTGTTGTTCCAATTATCGTCATTTACATACCTGTCCTTCGTCGTACTTGTACTCATGCGCCTGGTTTCGAGACAGAGGTCGGCGGAATGACACTGAACCTATCAGCGCTGTGCTGGCCTTAAGGCGGCTTATCTTGCGCGCATACTGCACAGAGGCAGGATCTTGATGCGAGGCACCACACTCCTGAACAAAGCTTGACATATTTAGAGCTCTATCGTTATCGGTGGTATCACGTGAACAATGGAGGGGCAACAGCCTGTTGGGTTCCAGAATGGAAGCACGCGTCCAATACATTTGGCCCGTTTGCGTAAGAGGCTCAACAGGTTCCCAAACCCCCAAAAGTGAAAAAGAAAGATACGGGACCTAGAACCGTAGAGCGGGACGGCATGGGAAATAGTTCGTTGACGTCGGCCCTTCCGTCTTCATCTCTCCTACCCCCACGGCTTGTTTATCATCCATCAATCAATCTCTTTCTCCCTTTCATCATCTCCATCATTCTCTGCTCTTCAGCCATCCGTCAGTCCTTCGTCGGATATTTCCCGTCCAGTTTTCATATCTTTCTGGCTATTTCCCCACAGCCCTTCAGTGTCGTCCAATTACTCTGTCCCACTCGCCGCTATTATCTAAAACCACTGACTGCGAGGTCTTGTCAATTCAACTCAAGAACACGTCCCCACCCCCGCTCGAACCTCTCATCCATTAAAGAGCCCCCAAAATCAGACTCAACCACAAGCAATAACGGAGATTTGCCACAATGCATACTTTCCCTCGCTCCGTTTACAGTATGTCCAATGTAAGCTCTTGCTTTTCCTTTCTCCGAAGACGCTTGTTTTTATTTGTTTCTTTTTCATGTTCCTACAAGGTTATGAGCCTTCAAATCCTGCTCATGTGACGCATATTGCTGGTTCCTCATTTCTCCGCTGTATGTGTCTTTCTTTTGTATCCCCGCAGCTCTGTCCAGCCAGGATGCTTCGAGATTTGCGGTCCAAGCTTCCCGAGATTCGGCGATTTCGGCAAACAGCTCATGCCTTGCTCACCCCCGTGCCCCTCCGAATGCATCTACCCCCCGGACTTTGGACCACGCGAGCAAAGGGAAATTTCTTCATTGTCTCAAAAGAAGAGAAGAAAAAAGCTCAGTAAAAAATCCACAAAAAGAAATGCACTGGCAGGGTCACCGATTTTACCAACTGTGTACCTTTATGCCGCCATTTCCGTTCCTGAACACTCTCCTTGATTCGAAAGAGCTTGACAGTCACACGGGAAGTCAATTATCAGTGCGTGGTGATCAGTCGTCCCTGCGTCGACAGCCCACGCGGCGCTGTCTTTAAGATAGAATGAAGAGCTCACGATACTTTCTCCCACCGCGGCGTTCAAATGACCGTCTGACCGGCTGCTGCACCTATCATCCCAACCAAATTCGCACTCCTCCGCAATAAACCAAACCAGGGTTAGTTTTCTAAGGGCGAGCCTTCGGTACCCACTCTTTCTACAAAGTCAGTTTGGGCCGTTACTACTGGTCACCCCACAACTCGAGCGATACCCCCCGTCTCTCGCGCCAAACCATCCCTACCTGCCTCACCCACCACCCCACTCCCCTTTATCCGGCCCTTCCATAGCTCTTCTGGTAATCCAACTAAGACAACGGGAAGATCTGCCTACGCAAAACCAGCAACCCTTCGAGCTACTTTTCATTAACACTACCTCCCCAACCCTTCCTGACCTCAATTTGTCTGGAGCTTTAAAATCTCTCTTTTATTTCTCTTCATCTGTTCAACTGTTTCTTTAAGCCTCAAGATGTCGCAGCCTGTTGTTTGCGTTCACATGAATTACCTGGCAGATGCCCAGGGAGAAGATGGAGAGGAGTTTCAACAAGTGGAGTGCATGATAGCCACTAACTTTCCCGACAATGATTTGCAGGTGGAAGATTCGCATATTTGTGTAGTAATGGTGGGGCTTCCGGCGAGGGGAAAGAGCTTGATTGCACAAAAGAGTAAGTTGGACCATCTATGATTTCTGGCTACTCTACACTTCTTTTGAACTTCCTCTGGTATTGAGCATTTGTCTGTTGGATTCCGCTGGTTTGGAAATCAAGCAAGATCTCTTTCTAGAACGATTAATTGCCAATTGAGCACCGAAATTAGCTTTGGTGTTGGTTTGCTAATGCTACAATCACAGTTGTCCGCTACCTCAAGTGGCTTTCAGTGAATGCCAAGTCCTTCAATGTTGGATCCTACCGTCGTGCGGATACCCCAAGACCAACAGCCGAATTTTTCGATACCAGCAATCCCGAGGGCGAGCGGCTCCGTCGTGCAGCTGCTGAAGCTGCAGTTACTGACATGCTCCGTTGGTTTGAGCATGAGGGCGGCCATGTTGGCATTCTTGATGCTACCAATTCTACCAAAACTAGGAGGGAATGGATCAAGGAGCGCTGTGAGGCTAAGGGATATGATGTTCTTTTCGTTGAGAGCAAGTGCGATGATGAGGACTTGATCATGAGCAACATTCTTGAAGTTAAGACAACATCACCAGACTACGTCGGTCAGGACCCTGAATTGGCTGCTAGGGATTTTAGGGAGCGCATCAGGAACTATGAGAAAGTTTACGAGACAGTCGACGAGCCCGACTCCACCTATGTAAAACTCATCAACGTTGGATCTCAGGTTATCATCAACCAAGTGTCTAATTACCTCCAAACGAGGATTATTTACTTCACCATGAATCTTCACATTACTCCGAGAAGCATCTGGTTGTCCAGGGTAAGCATCTACTATTACTCGTCTTCTATACTCAACGCTAACCTGTTTTGTAGCATGGCGAATCCGAATTCAATGTGCAGGGGAAAATCGGTGGTGATGCTAGTCTTTCTCCCCGCGGATTGGCGTATGCCGATGCGCTCCCAGAATTGGTCAAGCATTCTATCGGAGATAAGAATGTGACTCTGTGGACCTCCACAATGAGGAGGACTATTCAGACCGCCAGGCATCTCGCATATCC